GTTTTTGAAGGATTTGTTATGATTCTACTCAAGACGATCATTCAGTATTAAGATATTAAAACATAACTATTATATAATTTGCGATTTTGTTACTATTTAGTTCTCACATTGCATTTTAAAATTTGAAGTTTTGTATAAATGAATCTTCAGCCACTGGCATAGCTAGTCCTGAGAGGTCCCTGTATCAAAATTCGTTGGGGGCCCTTTTCTAGGACTCCTTAACATTTTAAGATTTTTTGCTTGTGCATTTTGGGGCCCTGTATCATTGATACGGCTGATACGGTGGTAGCTAACCCCCTGTCTTCAGCTGAAATAAATAGATATAGGGTAGGTTTTTAATACTGCAGTCTTATAGTAGTCTTGGAGCAATATCGAATATCAATTCCGCTGAAAACATTCTTTTGTTCTATGCCCATCTCTGACTCTTCGGTCATAAGTCGACAAGCAGCCAAATACTGATCACAACGTCATAAACAGTTACCAAAGGTACAGTCAACAACATTCAAAGAAATAGTTTAAAACAGCAGTGCATGTATTGAGGCGATCCCCAGTCAATGGGTACATCATGGTCACAAATTAAGCATAAATTTGAATCTGCCATTCCCATATTCTACAGGTAATCTTGTTAAAATTCCAGTACCAAGTCTAAAACAGGTCACGCTGCATGCTCCACGCAAAGAACCAGAAATTCTTGTTGAGGTCTTCAGAAAGAAGCACCATTTCTTTCCCGAAGACCTCTTTACATTTAAGCTAGAATGTTTGGTTTTAATGGTGCAGTATATAAACCCTTTATGTGCTGAAAAGACAAAGGAAGATGCTTGCGTCATTTGGGATTCACTCCTGGTCAATATATCGGCCTTCTCATTTCCACAGATCCCGCAATGACTTGGGATCCACTGCAATGCATTTCAACAATTTATCTATTTTCTCTTGGAGGATCCTCGAAATTTCACATTCATGGTGATTGCTAGTGGCTTAACTCGTAATTGCCGCCTTAAAGTAAACAAAAAAGACGACTTTTTCCTTTTCACACTGCTCTATCCTGTCTAGTGCTAAAGAAATAGTTGCTATTTCTCTCTCTCTCTCACAATCAATGTTGTCAAAAGGTTTTCTAACGACAGACAATGTAAAGTCTATAGAGAAAACTCCAACTCCAGCACATTTTTAATTGCTCCTTCAACCGAATCATGCTTATAAATGTTTAGCTAATAATCATCCGGTAACACTTACGAATAGTAGCCATGACCTTATATTACAATTTAGAATCAAGAGAAAATTTTCTGCTAACATCAGAAACAATGTCCAAATAATCTTTTGCAAGTTTGTTAAGAAGGAAACCACACACACAAAGAGATATCATGTAGTTCTTTTATTAAACAAAGATGAGTTTTTAGTGTTGTCGACCTCTCTACGGCTGGCCAGCAGAGGCTCAGAAAGTTTCTTCTTAATATTGTTTCAGCAAGGCTTAAGGCCATTCTCCATCTACGGTCAAGCAAAAGCTTCAAACCAGTCTGACGTTCCATAGTAGCAATTGGGGTAGATCTTGTATCACCCGTAACAAATCTCGAGATATGGTTTTGAAAAATATCTATTTTTTAAATTTGTCTCCGGTATTGTTATAAGCTCTTCACTGCCATATTCAAACCCTGGTCTCACACAGGTCTTATAAGCGATTCAAAGGAGACCTTGGGTAGAGTAACAGGTTGTGCCGGCCAATCGTTTTAGAAGTTAAGCTATAAGTTCTCCACGGTCAACAGCTTTCTTAATTTGACCAGAGCAGTTTAGTCTTGAATTCAAGTCAACACCAAAATAGGTGGTACTTTCAGTTCTTTTTAGCAATTTATCTTTTGTATCTAAGGCTTATGTCATGATCTTTAGTGCTGAGTAAGAAGAGTTGAAACGCGGTTTTACTGAAAACTATCATTTGAAATAATAGGGGACATTTGACTCGGATCCAATGAGGAACATAGTGAATGCTTCTTGCATTCAATATTAGTTCCATATCATCGTCTGAGTCCTTTGTGGAGTTTTATCGAAACGTTATTAAGAAAGAATACCTGTGAAATAATGAACTTTCACTTTGTTACATTAACAGGGGGAAAATGCACCCTGTTAGAATGGGTGAAAATATACTCTTACATTCGCGCCTTATAATTTGAATTTTATCAGAATAAAGCAGCGTTTCTCAAACTGTGGGGCACCCACTCCTAGGGGGGGGGGCGAAAATATTGAAAAGTTGAAAATAAAATATCACTTAAAGAAAATTATTAATTTCCTGAAAGGAAGCAAATTAAAATACATTCCAACATAATAAGAAATAAAATACGCATTTACACTGTTTTAAAGTTATACACCCCTTCTATAACTTTCGTAACGCTGAGTACCCCTTTTATAATTGTAAATAAATGTATCAATGCAGGACAATGTATTTGATAATTAATTTATCTCAATACTAAATTAAGAACAAATTTAATAATTATTAGGGACTCCTATATGGGCTTACCATATCGTCGGCCTAATTATCAGTGTGCATAACTCCACAAAGGAACTAAATTTGATACAGGAGTGCTACGCGCCAACCGCTGCAGGGCTCGATTAAAGAATCGCATTAAGCAGCGGTTGCTGTCGAGTTACGTGGAATCCAAGATGGAGGCAATCGTAAGGAAAATAATTGCAAAGAACTGTTTTGAAATATATTACAAATGAAGATCAATGGTTAAACTTTTAAAGAAATCGAATTAAAATCGTCTGAAATTAATAGGGCCAATGAGGAAAAAAAACAGATAAAAAATTAACTCTAATATACGTTATCCCCATGGTAACCACATTACCACAAGATAAAAATATCAAGGTAACCATATTGTAATGTTATTGCCCATCTTGGAAACATAAACAACAACTTGGCACGTAGCACTTCTATATCAAACTTGAAGCCCAGAAGGAGTTACGCATTTTGATAATTAAGCTAACGATATACCAAATTTAATACTAATCTTGATAATTTGTTCGATAAGTTGATATGTTTCTTGATAAGTTGTATTGTATCTCTAGGGTCAACGTGCATTATTATTGCATTCAATACATTGTTATTGTAGGGGGAGGGAGTGCGATGAAAATGATGATTGAAATTTGGGTCGCCAATATTGAAAGTTTGAGAAGCACTGGCATAAAGTATCGTAAAATCATTCAAAATCTTAACCACCTCTTTTTTTTCACTAAAAATAATGTCTGACATAGTTTCATTTCGTAAAAAAGTAGTTCTTAAAAATGATCATTAAGGATGACGAATTGATTAGTTAATGATGAAACGAATCAGTTACAGGATATACTCTTTTCCGCTTGAGATGAAGAAAATACAAATTAAAAGGGATGAAATACAGATCTTATTATACGCTTAATCGAATATACAAATGTTTAAAGTATAAATAAATTTGAGAGAAAATCTACTGTTAACTTTCCATTATCTTTTTTTCCCATTTTATTTGCATTAAATAAATCTATACTTCCTTTTTCATACTACAAAATAAATGACTCATTAATGTTTCTTAAGTGACTGTTTCTATTTAATATAAAAAGAAAGTCCTTGCCCAAAAAGATCATTATTTAATAAAATAATGAGTTTTTTTTAATGAGATCATTGAAAGAAAGTTTTAATAGAATTTGAGAGGAAAAAGAAAGAAATTCAGAGCAACCTAATGATAAGATGGGAAACTCCGTGAATGTGTTTCATGGGTTTGAGTTTTGATTTGATGTGGTGTAAAAGTTTGGACAACTGGGGTTAGCTCGGTGTTGTACTCATCTCTCGACTGAGAGTTAAAACTACGAGGTTCTTTTTTATCCATAACATCCCTACAATCCATTTTTAGAGGGTCTGTATTAAACAAAAAGAACATGCATGCCACATTTCAAGTCTGCTGGTCAAATAGTTCCGTAAATCTCCTGAAAAATGAGTCACTCACTGTTCTCCTACATATAAATAAATAAATTAATTAATATTGTTCTATTGCTTTTTTTATCAGGAAATATTTAATTCTTTATAAATACTTTACAATTCTTATAACGCAATCCATTGAAATGTTATAGAGTTTTATCCTTTTTCTTTAAAATGTAAATACTTATAATAATAAACTACTTTAGATGTAACGCTTTAAATACGTCAAAAGGCCATTAGACCAGCTAACCAATGGTTATATTTCTTGAATTTTATCCTTGTTCTTAATCCGTTATGTTACCCTACTGTGCAGAAGTTACCCTACTGTGCTACTGTGTTCTTTTTAGAATTTCGAAACAATTTTAGAAGAACACAGCCACAACTGAGCTGGCATCTCTTTCAAAATTAACAGGGCTTCGAAGTGGAACTGAACTGAAAACCGGGAAACAGTTTTATTTTGGTCGAAACAAAAATTGAAACTGAACCGAAAAAAATGTCGGTTTATTTCGGTTCGATATACTAAGGTACAATAGCCCCTCTATAGTGGAAGGTCTTTAGTGTACTCTTACTCAAACTCACAGCTAGCCGGCTACGAGTTCTTGACCATGACCTCTCGGTTACTACGGCCACAGGCGTGGTGTGGAAGTTTCGGGAATGGCGTTTTCCTCTCTGTCTCATTTAAGGTGTTGTCCTCATCACTTAACCGAGGTTCGAAATTACAATATTAATCTCCAACAGCCCTCGCGTACCTTCAAAGAGAGACAGAAAAAATCTAACTATTGAACAAACTAAAGATTGATAAAAATCGGATGTTTCTTTATTCAATTCCTACTATTATAGTTCACACTCTCCCTATACATATATATACGTATATATCTCGTTCAAATTTTCAATCGTTAATAAAATACTTTTTATTCGTCCACTCAAGTTCAAAAATATTTTTTTAAACTTGTAATGGATGACACTTGATGTTAATACAGTTTTTTTCAAATATTAATTCAGTAATTAAATTAAAAAATGAATAAATAGTAACACAAACAAAAATATAGGAAGAAAAATCGCTGGTTGTGTCCCTGTAGCGCGATGGATAGCGCTTTGGACTTCTAATTTAAACTCGTGGGCTCGAATCCCACCTGTGATGGACTCATTTCTGAGAATGTGATTTCATTTTACTATACTATTTTGTTAGAATAATTAAATTTAACTAATGAATAAATAGTAACAAACAAACAAAAATAGTCCGACACCCTACATAGAAAGGAAGATTGAAAATTGGAAGGAAAATCGCTTTCTATTTTGTCACTTAATAGTGTGATTCTGTCATATGTTCATATGTATATACATATTTATATTAATTGTAACTATTTAATAAAAAGTAGCTAAACTCTGAAATGTTTCTTTGTTGACCTAAGTAGGAATTGACTTAATTTTTTATATATATATATATATATTACTTGTTTTTCTTCAGATATTGCTTTTTCTTCACAGAAAACATAAAACTAAAATTTGTGAATGTCTCTGCAACACTTTTGGAAAACAATTATGAGAAGAAACTTTTTTTTTCAAATTGGAGTTTCACTCATGTATATATTACTCATAAACTTTGCTCAAAAATTCAAGCTAACTAAAAAACAATCATACTTCATTTTTAGAAACTTATATTACTGACTTATGATTAAGTCAATCCATGCACCATTTCCTCGAGATGTGACATTTCAACCCATGTTGAAGCGTATCACGTGAAAAAACAGTGAAATGCTAATTATGTAATAATTTATTCTGCATTTTCAAGGATACAAGATGTCATCTCATTCTCTCGGTGGAAACAGATTTATTCAACGATGTTTTATTTTATTTCTTTTACTTCATTTGCATTGAGCTTTCCTTTCATAATGGTATCTTTTGGATATCGATTTGTGATGTATCGATATCTTAACTGTAGCAAAACGATTTTTAATGCATAGTTTTCGTTTCACAACTTTTCGTGGCTTAGTCTGAATGAATATATTAATGCATGGATGTGATTATATTCATGTTTGTATGCTTTAAAACGATGAAGATTCATTAAAAAATTATGAATACCACAATAAATTAATGTTGAAAAAAATTTAACTACTTCCTCGTATATATTCTGCAGCAATCTGAGAAAGTGCAACGTACAAGGATATAAAAATATAAGACAAAATGATTAAATATGGTAAAGGAATCAAATAAGCATTTTTTTCAGCTGCAAAATATATGCCCGAAAATGCTTCCTACATATATTTTGATTCTTTCAGCATATCTCCTTGTGATGTTTTCGCGTCACACAGCTGAAAAATCAGCTTCTGTTTGTGGATAGGAAAGCAGCATTCCTATGCACACGAGCACCTCTAAATATTGCGGGGTCCTGTCTTCTGACATCGCCCCGGCAACCTATGACCATAAGAAAAACCCCACTCCGTCCACGAGCCGGAATGTAATTCGTGGATAAAAAATTTTCCGCCCCACCCTTGAGAGTGCAGAAGAGAGTCCGTTGGAAAACACCAAATAGAACGGTCGTGTTGCCTTCTCCCTCACAAATAACATATTCTGAACTAATGAGCAAATGAATAACTTTAATGTAAATGTATGTACCATAATTAATAGCTGTGACGAAATAAATCAATTATTTAATTTTCCTAAATCTCGCGCTATTATTAATCTTCTCAAACGTCACACCCCTAATCTTACGGTATGCCAGGAAATATTGCTTGAATTTTGAGCTTACCTCATCTGCAATCTGAGGAATCAGAGACATTAAGCTTAGATTTAGAGAACATGGTTCAGAAAATATCTTATGGTGACATTAACCAAGTGGTCAAGGTCATTAACTCATGGTCAGCGTTGTCGATTCGTGGACAGGAGACTTGATGCCACTGAAGACCGGCTGTGAAGAGGGATTGATGCAGGCTAAATGTATCAATACTCTAAGTCAGCGATAATCAACCTGCGGGCCGCATGTGGCCCATCGGTCCATTCTGAATGGCCCGCTGCACGGGCAAATTTAATTATTTAAGAACAATGCATTAAAAATTTAGTGAGAGATTCTATCAATCAAGCAATCAGATACATCAATTTTGTTATCGATTTCGTGCTGGTATGAATTGCGAGATAACCCTTTTCCTTTTTGTAATTGTAATGGTTAGTGATACAAATAACAGTAGAGTAGCGATCTTTTTACAGATGAAACTAAGTTATAATTAACTCTAATGTCTTCCAAACGAAAAATATCTAAAAAAATATGTGTTGTTTCAAGATGATTGAGGTTTTGACCATTTCGTTGAGAAAAATAAATATGGATCAACATTTTGTTTGATTTGTCGTGAAAATATTATATTTAAAAAATGTAATTTTACTCGTCAATATTCCATTAAGCACAAATCTTTCAATGGCCCTTTTTCTTAAGGATCTCTTTCAAAACGAGATAAATTGGTTTTCTTAAAAAAAAAAATCTTTACAATAGTAATAAAATATTTTTTCGGTGGTAATTTCAAAAAATGCAGAAGTAATGGAAGCATCCTATAAAATTTGTTACTTTATATATCATCGGCCTAGTTATCAGACTGTGTAACTCCACCGGTGTTACTGATTTGATACAGGAGTGCAATGCACCAAGCGCTTTTTGGCGCGATTCCTTAATCCTTTTGTTTTGTCTATACCATGCCTCAGTGCGCGCTTCGCTTTTAATTTATTCTTCAATCAATGTAAACACTACTTTTTTTATTTCATAATAAAGCTAGATTTCGAAGGGAGATGTGGTGGCAAGATTTTAACATAAAATAAATACAACAGAAAGTAATAGTAATGTATTACACTTCCAGATATAAATTATTTACACTATTTTAAGCGTTCATTACACAAAATTTGTAACAATGTGTTACTTTTGCTGAGCAGAGATCCCACGAAAAAAAAAAAAACAACTAACACTAATATACGTTATCCCCATGGCAACCACATTATCACACGATAAAAATATCAAAGCAAGCCATATTGTAATATTATCACCTATCTTGGCGAACATAAACAACAACTTGGCGCCTGACCTTACTGTATCAAATTAGCTTCCCAGATGGAGTTACGCAGTCTGATAATTAGACCGACGATATGAAACTATTAAGGATAAAAGTATGAATTGATACAGAAATTATAAGAGGTTTTCTTAAATGCTTCCAAAGTTTTCTTGTGTGGATCAATTCAGTTATTTATTCAAATATTTTTTTTTAGTAAAATGAAAAAGTATTTGAATAAATTTGAAATAAAAATGCACAAGAAGTCTGAAATAATTTTAAACAATTAATTCTAATTTCACTCTGGAATTCAGTAAAAACTCTTTGCTACCATCCTGCCCTTGATAAATTAATCTCTGAAGTAAAAATAAGTGAGGCTTTGTCAAAAAAAAAAAAAAAAAATCAAATTGTGAAAGTGCTTGGCGGTTTTGTTTTTATGACGGTAGAATGCAAACTAGGGGAATGGGATCATTGATAAAATGAAATCCAAATCCCCCTCCCCATAACTGGGTAAACCTATTTTTTGTGAGTTGAGTTTGATAGAATTTAACATAGTTTTAAGATAAAATCCGAAATTATATATGAGTTTTAATATTTGTATCAATTTTCCACATTTTAAATGTCCTTGATCTTATAGGCCCCCCCCCTCGATTAATCCTCATGTCGTGGCCCACATGAAATAGTTGTCATATGTATGTGGCCTGGCGAAAAAAAAGGTTTAGTAGTAATGCTTTAAGTCAGGGGTGTCCAACTCGCGGCCCGGGGACTGCATGTGGCCCACCTTGAATAATTTTGCGGCCCGCGAGTTTCTTTACATAATTCGACTATTTTGTACAATATTTTTTGTTTAAAGAGTTTTTTTTTTTTTTTTTTTTTTTTTGTAAAAAAAAAATCCCATAACTTTTATTATTTTATCACGTTGCTTCTGTTACTGCGAATCTTTTTTTTTTCTAAATCGAAATTTATCAAACATAAATCATGCTCAAACTTAACGTACGAAAATCTGCAACATTAATTACGATACGCAAATAAACATGCCTTTAGATCGACTTGCAAAAACTAAGTGAAAGAGTTGAGAAACAGATATCTCACTAATTAAATAAATTAAACATTATTTAATCATTGTATTATTATTATTATGTTATCTGTGTTTGTATACACATGAAAAACAATGAAAACAATAATAATATATCAGTCTGTTTTAAATTTTCACTCCTACAAATGTTTGTAATGGATCCAAATCTAATAGAAAGATATATATTTTTAAATGCGGCTCGCGGGATTGTAAAGTTCTTCCGAAGTGACCCGGATTCTAGGGGGCCGAAAGCTTGACTGACGCCAAGTACGTATTTAACCAATTTATAAAATACTGAAGTTAAAACCTAACTTTTCAGAAGGGCCCTAATATTCTCCGTTACGCCAATGTTAATATTAGAAGTGCATTGAGCCTATCTTGCTTCATAACTGCACGCAAAGAATTCTTCACTCTTTTAAGTGTGGAAAACGATCTTTCTTCAGAACAATTTGTGAAACGAAAATTTGTTTAACGACAATTTTTTTTGTACCTGTTTACTAGATATTTTAGATTTTACTACTTACACCAGTGGCGCAACGTACACCCCCGCATGGCTAGGTGGCATCCTTAGTAAAATCCGATTTGAGGCCCAAAATGTGACTTTGCAGGAGGGCCCTAAAATTCTCCGTTACGCCACTGTTCATATAGGCAACGTAGTACACAATAAATCATTCAATCTAAACATGCATGTTTTACTGATATTCATAGTAAAACAGTTTTGTTTTCCTTTGCCACTCCTCATAGCTTTTGAAGCTACCACTAAGAATAAATAACAATCCATTATATTAAGCATTATTTGAAGTAAAATTAATTTTCAAAAACTTTGTATCGTGAAATTGACAAAGATACAGATTTATAAAATTTGCTTTTTAAAAAAAATTCCAGAAAAAAACTTTCCGATACTTGAAAAATAAAATATAAGATACATTTCTAAAATAATTTTCTTACATTATATATTTATATAGTAATTGCTCACAAAAATTGTGCAAAACATAATTTTTATTAAAAGTATTGATAAATTCATTACAGAATTGCATA